AGTATCTTCAGTCATGCTTGGTACAAATGAACATAACGATTTGTTTTAATGGTCATAAATGCTGACCCTGGATAAGTGTAATGATGGGTATTGACTTTACTGGTTGAGTGGTAACTTAGCAGGTGTGGGTTGGTGCCCTTGTGGAAGCTGTCCATTTCCATTTATGGATTTCCATTTGTACAGCACTTTTCATGATCTCCAATTAGTCTACTCAAGTTAATAGCCAGTGAGGGACTTGTGAAACACAATCACTGTTTCACTACATGCAGCCAATTGTGCACAACAAGATAGCAGAAACAGCAACAAAATTAATGACCAGCGAATCTACTCTTTGCAATCTTGGTTGAGGAATTAATATAGAGCCCAAGACACAGAGGAGAATATTGCTGTTCTCTCAGTAGTGCCATAATTTACATCCATCGTTTCACTCACACCCTTCTCCCACAACAACCTCTCTATTGGCTCTATCCCTAGACACACACAAGTATGCACATCTGCACCAATGCTTGCATAGGATCTGAGCAGCTATTGCTTTATTTCTCTACCTTAAGAGACATTTTTGCAGTCCGTATCAAAACCCTGGAAGCATGCAATTGAGCTATTGGACTTGTGCAAAAACCGCAGTATTGTTTAAGTAAACTATGAATCATTCTGAGCTGTGAAAAAATATGATTTACAGAATTATGAATGGTTTAAAGTGAAAGGGAATTTAACATTGTAACAGGGACATTGTTTCAGTTGATTTCTGGAACAGCATCTAAAATAATGCAACTATGGAAAAGGACTTCCTCCAATTTCACAATTATTGTGCTATGTTCTATGGGGAAAAGGGGAGTCTTTATCAGCTATGCAATGTTCTCTACTTGCAGATGGCCACACTTTTTTGCCAACCTAGGAGAGATATAAGTCTAAATTGATTGGTAGACAATCTATCCCTGAGATAGCTAGCATATGATTATTATTATTAAAATGTAAGATCTTACTCGGTCTCTGACTGCTGGCCAAGATGAATTCAGTAATATCAGTCATGGAAAACAATGGGCTCAGTCTGCTAGGGCTGAGTCAGATGAGGGGATAGCAAACAGGAAACCCAAAACCTTAGGATATGAAGCCATTGTTGCTTATGCAAGGCTGATAGGACCAGGTCCAGCTATGATAACCTGCTTGATAAAAAATAGTTTGTTAAAACTTACTCTTTTTTCAGATCAAGATTTAGTGGCCTCTCCCAGGTCAATTCTTCCAAACCTCCAGACTCCAATCGGGACAGGGCACAGCCACCTTCCCACTTCCGGGTCAAAGGTTTATAAATGGCTTTGCTGCCCTGACATCAATTAAAGGCCTAAGATAGGAAGTTGATTCCCACATAAGGGCCACAACTAGCTATTGCTGGCCTTCAACTAACAGTGGATGAGGCAGTCAACATTTGTGGAACTTAAATAACCTTGCAGGGTGTAATGAGGCTAGCTAGGTGGATTTCATAGAATGTGTTCCGTGATTGGGGCCGTTTAATCTGGTCCAATCAGGGAGCCATGGCTGACAGATAAGAATAGAAGTATCAGACTTTCTGTTCACTCTGAGAGCTGGCTCTGAGGGAGCTGGCTCAGTGCCAAGGACATTCCATGGGTAAATAACGGGTAACTTGGTGACGAGATACTGGTTCTGTAGAATTATTTCGGTGGGTCAAGTGTGGCATAAGCTCCTGAAGAAATTCGCTTGCAACAGTTGTCTTTGAAATGGGGTAAGCATTTCTGGCATCATGCCATTATTTGGGAAGCTTTACTTGTTTGATCCTGCCATTGAAGACTGGGCCCAGTATGTGGAAAGAATGTGTTTCTTTTTCGGGCAAGTGACATTTGGACAGATGAAAAGCAACGGGTAATTCTCCTGACAGTTTGTGGACCTACAGCTTTTTCAGTTATTAGGAGCCTGACTTTCCCTAATGCACCTGATACTAAAACCTTTCAAGAGTTAATGGGTTTAGTTAAGGAATATTGCGAGCCAAAGCCGCCTCTAATTCTGAGATGCTATTGGTTTTACTGGGCAACTTAAGAACGAGGGAATCCATGTCAGGATTTTTGATGAGATTAAGGTGACTGGCAGAGGCATGTAACTTTGGTTTAACCTTTAATGAGATGCTGAGGTACCATTTGGTATGTGGGATTAATGATGTCACCATGAAAAAGCACCTACTAGCTGAAGTTCACCTGGACTTCAAACAGGCACTATGGCTGGCTTTATTATTTGGAAAACACGGCAAGTGGAGCATATGGGTTGCAGAGTATTCCGATGGAAGTGGACAGCCTCACCCGACCAGCTGAGCTTGGGGAACACCACTTGAGTGAAGGCAATTGTATAGCCTCACTCAGCATATATCCTGAACAGAGGGACTCAAGGTCAGCCCACAACAAAACCCCAAATCAAAGCCAAGTCTCGGCCAAACGGTTAATTTTCTTCAAGCCATTATAGTTGTTGTCGGTATGCAGGCTCGAGAAAGCGAAAGAGTTCCACTGGATCTAAATTGAGTAAGTGAACTCAAGGTCAGTATCTGGAAGAATGTACACTTCCAGTCACATCTGACAATATCAGACTTTGGACAAAGAAAGATCCGATCCTGGAAAAAACTGGTCGTGATAGGGGAAACCAAAGGGCCGTCACAACCAAAACTGAAACCTTTTTGGACCTGGAGAGACCAAATCACAGTAGAGGACAGCTTATCATGGGGGAGCAAGAGTGATTGTCCTGAGCAAAGGTCACCACCAGATGCTGGCTGAACCCCACCAGGATCATCGGGGATGTCCAAGATGAAAATGTTATGTCTGGTGGCCGGGATTGGGTGCAGACATAGCTGAGTTGGATATTGCCCAGATACCAACAAGGACAAAAAAAGTTCATGGGAATGGCCGGGTAAACCCTGGACTCAGTTACACATTGACTATGCAAGTCCTTTCGTGGGTTCAGTGTTCTTAACGTTGTGGACACCCACTCAAATTGGCTGGACGAGCATTGAGTTCATTCGACAAGTACAGGAAAGACCATAGAAAAGCTGCACACATCCTTTTAAATACAAGGACTTCCAGAAGTGTTGGTCACAGATAATGGACCATTGTTTACCAGCAAGGAATTCAAGTTTTTCCTAAAGTCAAATGGCATTCGGCATATAAGGATAACTCCATACCATTCATCATCCAATGGTCTGCCAGAAAGAGCAGTCCAAACTTTGAAGACAGGCTTAAAGAAACAGCCTACAGCTTCATTAGATACCAAACTGTCCCAGTTCCTGTTTGATTATAGGACCAGCCCTCAAACAACTACAGGAATATCTCCAGCAGAGTTGCCAATGGGGAGAAGACTCTGCACCAGGTTAAATCTGATCTTCTGGGACCTGAGGGTGAAACAACAGAAAGAACACCAAGCCTTGACACAAGCTTTGCTAAGCCAAAGAAACAGTTTACTTCAGGGGATGAAGTTTGGTGTAGGAACCATGGGAATGGCCCTGCATGGGTACGAGGCATACTTGACAGGAGGTCAGATTCAGTGACATATAAAGTTCGACTAGGTATGATGATTGTGAACAAACACGCAGACCACACTGCAGCTTTAAATTCACAATTGGTGTGGGAGCAAAACGTGCCTGGCTCCTCGTTGGCCCTTCTGATTGTTCCAGAAGCAATGGGTTTTCTCTCTCCATCAAATGTTGAAGATACCTCAATCTGCGACGGACACTGCAGATTTCACCACCTCAATGCCTTTGCCACCCTGAAGAGAATTAATTTTCCTCAGACGTTCTGGGCACAAGGGGCAAGCTACTGTGCGTTATGTGCAGCCCATATCAGAGGCAGAGTTGGAGGAGCTTGACCGGATGCTAAAATGCCCCAGGAGGAGCTACAAAATAAAGAACCAGCCTGTACCATCAAACTCCGGTGGAAGGATATAGTGATTGTAATAAGGTCAGCAGGTGGACCTCATAGAATGAGTCCCTTAATTGGGGCCGTTAATCTGATCCAATTGGGGACCCTTGGCGGACAAGTATAAACAGGAGTGTCAGAGGTTCTGTTTACTGAGCGCTGGCTCTGAGAAAGCTGGATCAGTGTCAAGGACTTTCCATGTGTACATAAAAGCTGATTTGGTGATGGGATACTGGCCTTGGTGAAGTTATTTCACTGGGTTTGCTTGCTGACCCACTGGGTGGGGGTTCCCTCGTTGTTAGGCATTGAACGCCTGACGAAGGTACTCTGCTTCAGGAAATGGTGCTGAGACCTATGCCCTGCCTTTTCCTTCTGAACCTCATTCCCTCTCTCCCTATCTATGAATCTTATTCAGCCCTCATTCCTCTGTAATTTGAGTCCTTGACTTCTGGTGGCTGTATTCCCAACAGCTGCTATTGCTCCTAGTGCTGCCTTCTGCAGTGAAGTGTTGTCAGGCTCTTGCCCTTGATCTTAGGAGTGGCCTGTTGCTGACCGCTAGAATGCTCAATTGGCTCTTCATCTGACTCGCTTTCCCTAAAGGAGGCTGTGTGGACTTTCTCAGACTTTTCAGCCAGTGAAGTAAATGTTAAATTCTACCCTTTGACTAGCAAATGAAGATTGGTTACTTCAGTGAGATGATGGAGTGTTGCATAATCAATGGAACTTCACTGAGCAATGGCTTACTATTGGAGAGGTGGGGAGAGGAGAGTGGATAAAATTCAACTTTGGGGCAGAAAATACACAGCAGAAAATTCATTATCCACTATAAGCATCACCTGATTCTCCTTCCCCTTGTCTTTGTATTGATCTGCCATCAGTATTGTTTTAAATAAGGCAGTAAATTGGTTGTTCCATTTGCCTGTTCCGAGGGATCCTATGACATTAGTGGAATAGGATAAAGAATCCTTCTGTTCTGGTCATTGCTACTTCTTGAACCAATGTTAATGTTTGTGGGAAACTGCTGATGAGGAATAGCTGTGTTTTTTTTTCTACAAAATAATGGTCACAGCAGTTCTTTAATAAAATGTAACTTACTGCATTGCACGCATGGAGTTTTAGCAGCAATATGATAAGGCACTGAAGAAGCATACAGCAGGCTTTTTCATTCTCCAAATAGGAGTTAGCTGGAAAGAAAAGGAGAAAAAATTTTACAAGGAAGCAAAAACAGTTAATTATTATTCACATTTTGTGAACAGACTTTTATAAAGTTAGAAATTGAGTCCTAAATTCAGGCTTTGACATCCTTTCAGTTCTATCCTGGACAGATGAAATGGAATTTGACAAATAATTGATTTCTCACACCAGTATCAGGATAGTTGAATGTTTCAAAATTTATTTCAACCCCTGGTTTTACGAGATTAATTTGAAGTGACATTTTGTCATATTCCCACGCAGAAATCCAATGTAGAAGTGGAAAACTGCAGAAGGCAACACAAACCATTAGCATAAACTCCATCTATTTATTTTCTTGATCTCAATTAATCTCAGTTCAGTGTCACTAAGAATATATCAACAAGAGATTATTCTGAGCTTTTATTTCTATTGGTAAAACCCCTGTGGTATTCCTTGCGGTGAATCAGATAACATACTATTTTAATCAGAAGGGGTGATTAGAAAATTAAAATGCCAACTGACAAAATTTGAAAAGGAGTTTGTAGGAGGTGTGGTCAACGAAGTATTTGTTTTCCTAGAAAAGCTGAGATTGCTATGATTTTTCTTTTCTGTAATGAACAGTATGTTAGATGCAATCACTGGCAGAAAGAGATTGGAATTCAATTCTATATTAAAGGTGCTAGTTTGAGAAAACTACCCATTTAGAGAAATGTTGCATCATCAGGTTTTTAGACGCTTGCTGAATTCTGATCCCTGACATCCAAATGCTGGTTACAATTGTTAAGGTTAATTAAATGCTGAAGAAACTGTCATTTGTTTTGCCACATCATACTGTTTAAACTCTTCCTTGGTGACTACCAATCAACCACCTGGGGACTTTGTAAAATTGGCTTCCCACTGGTTACAGTTCCAATGCAAAGACTAACCTCCTGGAGGGCATTCATACCATTCTCTATAATGCAATCAAGCTCTCTTCTCTTAGTTTCACAATGATAAGGCACCATTTTGCTCGAAGTCAAGTTGTGCAGGACTATTATATATAGCTATAATTTCTTTATGAAACCTACATAATCATGTATTAGTGAGCATTGTCCTTTGGTGAAATTTTCTCCTCAATATTGTCTGCAACTTTATTGACAAACTGACTTCGGTTGTCATTATTTTAAGAATTTCTACCATTATGATTTTTATTAAAGAGTAAGAGAAGCCAATTGAGTCCATCATGTGCTATACTGCACAATGTAAGTAATCTTTAACTCTTGACATTAAATTAAGTTTTCCAGATGGAGGACAGGCTGTTTAACACAGATTCGAATCTATATTTTAAAAAAAAATCTTGAAACTGCCTTCATTATAATGTAACATCAATATTAGGAGGGCAGGTGCAATAGTGATAAAGTATTATCCCACAATTCTGACACACAGTGACAGAACTTTAGCATTGCTAAAGAATAGTTTAATAAAAATATGTATTCAAAAACTGTACATTCAGCTGAGACATAACTGATCTGTCAGCAAGATGAAAAGTTCAAGTACGAAGTCATGAAGTCTGCAACATATTTGAGACTCGCCTTATAGTTGACAATGTCCTGCTTCAAAACTGGTACAGAATCTAATATGATACTCACTCTAAGGAAAGGTGTTAGCATCGTAAGGACAACACTGTCTCGCTCAGCCACCACCGATGAGCTCACTGATCTGTATTGGGTCTTAGTCCACACCATCAACTCCTGGATTTTAAAATTCTCATTCTTGTGTCATACTCTTCCATTCTTTGCCATTAACCTTACCATGTGTACAATCCTAAAACACTCTCTCTCAATGCTGTATTCTTCCAATTCTGTTCTGTTGTGTATCCATCGTGAGAGCTGTGTCTTCAGCATTCTAAACCTTCCCTAAAAATTTTAATCTCTTTTCTGTTAAAACTCTTCTTACAATCCATGGGCTGAATCTTATGTTTTTCTTTGGCTTTACATCAAGTTTGTTAGAATGCTTTTCGCCATGAGCCCAGCAAGTTTATTTTCTCACCCTATCTTACCAGACTCTCCTCATTAATAGTCTACCATGCCCCAACGGTGTATCTCTTCGCCAATTTCTGCTCCATTTTACCACGCACCATTCCAAGAAGAACTCCGCAATCAAAGGATATGCTAGTACACCAACATCTCTTATGCCTGTGCCATCTTTGTCAGACAGGCGTGGTCAGTCGGGAGATGCCGCGCACGGTTTCTGATGTTTGTCTTGGACATGGCAGATGAAGCATTCTTTTGTACCTCACCTGCAGGCAGGAGCCTGGAGGTCCTGATGGACAGTGCGGTACTGCTGCAGGACGTCCTACACAATGCACTCCACCTCGATGACCATCAGTGGAGGCCAGGAGACCGGACCATGCCAGCCCGGTTAAAGCAGCCTCAACTTTCTGGAGAATGTGCTGCACTGGAGGAAAAAGGTCAAAGTCATTTTCCACTCCTCCAGGGAAGCTCCGCCATCTTTTCTCTGATACCACACACTCACTTATTCGTTCTATCTCCCACCAAGGCCCATGCTGTACCACTATCACTATTGCATGCTACATCTTCCCCAACTCACCCTCACTCTCTTTTTCTCTCCACCCCCAACCCCCCCCACTGCTCCCCACCTCCCAAAACAAGCCCTTGACACCAATAACCTTGCAGGCTCTCTGAGCTACCTACTCACTCACGTGGGACATCTGCCTGCCTGCCTGCCTGCCTGCAGCAGTAATAATAACTATGCCATCCCCTTTCATCTCCCATAATGTCCTGTATCATTCCAAGAGCAAAACAGCTGGCAATAAGGCAGAAAGAGTTGAGACTCAAGGGTGGTGGTCCATTGTTTTGTTTCTCACTTTTTATGAACAGAGGATCTTGACTCTGACTACCCTGATGAACTCTGACCACCCTGAGAAACCCTGGACTGCTATCAGAAAGGTTACTCTTGACTTACTGTTCCAAGACCCCTTGAGCAAAGGTTATTCCCGCTTTGACTGAGACCTGCTGACAACCGTGAGAAGCTTCCTGCCTTTGTTTGTTCAAAATGGTTGAGCAAGACTGAAGTAATATGAGCCTGGTATCTCTGACTGAGAGAGCAACATGCTGCAAGGCAGGGATGTTGTGAGCATGTACATAGCCTCAGAGTAAGCGAGTGCTATGGCAGTGAGTGAAGAGCCTGGAGGTGCAGCCTAGTCCAGTCCATGCATTGGGTATGTCCCTTAAGCACAATGTGCTCCTAGAGCTTCAGTACACAGATCCTTGCTAGTGCACGTTAAAAGTGCAGAAGCATCCTGTAAGTGAATCGGAGATGTGCCACGAGGATCTTGGAGGCTGGCAGATGTCAGAAACCAATCTGTCTGGAAATGGGATACATGTGGCCAACACCCAAGGAGTGTGCGCTGAGATGATGGTGCCTGGTGTCCACCATGAAGGTCATATAGAGCAAATGTGAGCTAAATCTAGCAGGTGTTTGCTTTGGTTACCTTGCATTTTCGGACATCAGGCTTATTTGGAGAGTTTCAAATAATATCATTTCTGCCTCTCTCTCCAATGCTTCACGTCTTTCTATAGTGTGGTGCGCCACAGTTGTATTCCAGCTGAGGTCTAACAAGTGCCTTATACAAGTTCAACATCTACTCTTTGCTCTTGTACACTAGGCCCCTATTAATAGAGCTGACAACATTGTATGCTTTGTTAACTGCTCTCCACCTGTACTGCTACTTCCAATAACTTTATGCATATACATCCAGATCCATGCTCCTGTACCCCCTACTTTATATTGTCTTTCAGTGTTATTCTGACCAAAATGTATCACTTCACACTTCGCTGCATTGAACCTCATCTGCCACCTATCTACCCACCCCACCAACTTGTCAACTTTTGGAATTCCATGTTATCCTCCTCACAGTTTATAATTCTTCCAAGTTGAGTGTCATCTGCAAACTTGGAAATTGTCCCCTGTGTGTCAGGATCCCAATCATTAATAAATATCAGGAAAAGCAAGTGTCCCAATACCCATCCCTGGGAAATTCCACTACAAGCCTTTCTGCAGTCTGAAAAATATCCATTGACTATTATTCTCTGTTTTCTATCACCTCAGCCAATTTTGTATCCATGTTACCATGGTCCCATTTCACACCATGACCTACAATTTTCTCGCGTCTGTTTTGAGACTCTGTATCGAATGCTTTCTGGAAATCCATGTATACCATGTCAAAAACATTGCCCTCTTCAACCCTTTCTATTGCGTCTTAATAAAGCTCTGGCAATTAGTTAAATATGACTTCTCCTTTAGAAATTCATGCTGACTCTTTCCAATCAGCCCACCTTTTTCCATGTGACAACTAATTCAATCCCAAATAATTAGTTCCCAAATGTTTTCCCACTACCAAAGTTAAACTAATTGTCATTAAACCTTTTTTTGAACAAGGCTGTAACGTTGGTAATTCTGCAGTCTTCTGGCAGCTTCCCAGAGTCTAGGGAAATAATTTTATCACTAACCTGATAAAATGTCGCAAGGTACATCATAGTAGCTTATAGAGCAAAATGTAGCACTGATCCACTGAAAGTCATAATTAGTGCAGATGGTCAAAAGCTTAGCCAAGATGTAGGTTTTAATAAGAGGCATGAAAGAGAAGAGAGTATAGGGAAGGAATTTCAGAGCATATGGCCCAAACAATGGAAATCACAGTCACCAAAGGTGACGCAGTTTAAATGAGGGAAGCTCAAACAGGCAAAGTTAGGTGATTGAAGAAATTGCAGATTTTGGAGGAGACTACAGAGATAGGGGAGGGGTGGGACTTGAAAATAAGGATGAATATTTTATAATCAAGGTGTTACTTGTTCAAAGACAAATGTAGTTCATCAGGTACCAATGTGAGAGGTGAATGGACCTTGACAAGGGTAAGGACACAGGTAACAGAGATTGGGATGACGTCAAGCTTACGAAACATAGAATTGGAGGAGGCCAGTCAGGAGTGCATTGGCATCAAGCCCAGTGA